TATTTTGGTTCCGATGCCCGGTACAAGTCTTATATTTGATTTAAGACATTCCTGTAAAATTTGGTAAAAAACGGACGTCATTTGACGTAATTCAGACCTAAATTGCTAAAGTTGATGTTTTATGAAGTTTGAGAAAATTCTCTGATTTTGAGATTTAAATCGTTGTTATTGAGGTTATTTTGGCGATTTGATCACACGGACAAGTTCGAATGATGTTGTTGAGATAGTACGTATGTTTGGCTAGGAGCCCCGAGGGCTCAGGTGTATTTCGGATGTGTTTCAGAAAGTTTTGAACTTAAGAAAAATTGCAGAAACAGCTGATCTGATATTTTGATGTTTTCTTCTCCCGCGAACGCGATGCATTAATTCTCACTGAAGGAAAATCTTTCTACGCGAACGCGTAGCTCAGTTCGCGAACGCGAGGCAGTAAGGGGTTACCCTTCGCGAACGCGAGACTGGCCACGCGAACGCGAAGGCCAAATGGGCCAGGTCAGGGGGTGGGGTAATTAACCTACGCGAACGCGACCCATTGGACGCGAACGCGAGGGCTCGAGGGGATCCTTCTCCGCGAACGCGAGCCCGTTCACGCGAACGCGAAGGCTTAACCAGCCTTACCCATCGCGAACGCGAAGGGTCAGTCGCTATCGCGAAGGGCAATTTTGCCTAGCTTTTTTAAATAACCAGAAACAGTAGCATTTCGGGATTTATTCAAAACTTCATAACTTCTTCATCTTAACTCCAAATTGGGCGATTTTTGAAAGAAAATTTCACCACAAGTCCATAGGTATGTAATCCTAGAATCATTTTCTTCAACTTCCATTAACACCCGTTAGATTTCTAGGATTAAATCATGTGAATAAGGGTAGAAAATTAGGGATTTGGGTAGAGTTAGGGCTTTTTGATTAATTGTGATTTGGACCTCGTTTTGGGGTCGAATTCTGGAACTAATCATAAATTTGGGCTCGCGGGTGAATGGGGGAGCGGATTTTGTTTCGAATTTAATGTTTTGACCAAGCGGGCACGGGGTCGATTTATGGGTTTTTGGGAAGAATGCTTAGAAAGCTATAAATTTGCATTGGAATTGAATTGTTTAGTGTTTATTGATGCTATAAAGTCGATTATGTATAGATACAATTGATTTGGAGCCGAATTCGGAAGGAAAGGCGGTATTTGAGGATTGAGTTGGCCGTGGAAGTTTGAGGTAAGTGTCTGGTCTAACCTTAGCTTGAGGGATTAGGAGTTGTATCCTATTTTCTAATTGCTACTTGTTGAGCACGACATATAGGCATGATGACGAGTATCTATACGTTTGTGTCGAGCATGACCGTGAGTCTTATATTGACAGATATTGTGTTCTTAAATGTTGCTATGGATACTTTAATTGATGATTCTCGATATTGAGAAAAGATTTGGTTTATTCTCGTGGATTTTATTTATGATTAAGTATTGGTGCTATTTGAGCTGAATAAGAATTGAGTTAGGATTGGTCTAGTTGTTTCTCCCTTGCCGGGATGTTTGTTTTGGTACTGTTGTTCCCTTGACGGGAAGTTATTATATTGCTTTTGTTCCCTTGTCGGGATTCCTTGTGATTTTGTGTTGGCTTGTAAATGGGAGCGGGTGGTACGCCTACCACGAGATATAATGAAATGAGATCGGGTGGTACGCCTACCAAAAGATATGATGAAATGGGAGCGGGTGGTACGCCTACCACAAGATATGATGAAATGGGAGCGGGTAGTACACCTACCACAAGATACTATGGAATGGGAACGGGTGGTACGCCTACCACAAAATATGAGAAATGGGATCGGGTTGCACGTCTACAACGAAATGTGAACCGAAAGTGAAATCTGCCTTTGTTTTTCTTATCCTTTTTGGAAGATGAATTTTGATTTCCTTATAGCTCTCCTGAGATTTTGTTTATCTGTTATTCCCCGAAACATGTTTCCCCTTCTCATTTTTAAATGTTTTTTCTAGTTTATCTTTCCGCTGTATATATATAACTGCACAGGTCTATCTGGAGTCTGGTCCTAGCCTCGTCACTACCTCGCCGGGGTTAGGCCAGACACTTACCAGCACATGGGGTCGGTTGTGCTGATACTACACTCTGCACTTTGTGCAGATACCGGAGTAGCACTTGATCAGCAGCAGTAGGGGAGCCAGCCTTCAGTCCATCGAGACTCCGAGGTAGCCCTGCAGGCGTCCGCAGGCCCGACGTCTCCTCTATCTTATATTATGTTCTGTTATCACTTGTATCCGAGACAGACGATGTTTCTTTCTTTCAGACTTTTATATGTTGTAATCATAGTTAGTCCGTGAATGTTGTGACATCGGTTTCTAGGTAGAGACATATGTTGGCTATCCCTTTCTTTCGTACGATTTTGGTCTTATAATTGTTTAAGTCTTCCGCTTATTCTCATATTCCGCTCTTATATAATGGTTGATCACCTGTTAAGTTAATTGGTTAAAATGGGCTAAAATAAAAAGAACTTGAAATTTTCTCCATTTCGAGGCTTGCCTAGCTTCTACGAGTAGGCGCCATCACGACTCTCGAGGGTGGGAAATCCGGATCGTGACAAGTTGGTATCAGAGCTTTAGGTTACATAGGTCTCACAATTCACGGACAAGCTTAGTAGAGTCTGAGGGATCGGTATGGAGACGTCTGTATTTATCCCCAGAGGCTACAGAGTTAGGAAAACTTCATATTTGTTCTTTCTTGTCGTGCGGTTTGGTTTCTCAATGCTAATTGAATTTCTACTCTGTTCTTTTGGAGATGGCGAGAACATGCGCTTCCTCATCTACCGATCAGCAGCCCGAGCCCCCAGCAGCAGCTCCCACGAAGGGCAGAGGGCGAGGTCGATTTTGATGACGAGGTTCCAGCCCCAGCAGTTCCGGTGGGCCCAGCTCAACTCCCAGAGGGGTTTATTGCTACCCCAGTTCTTCAAGATGCTCTGGTCCGTCTAGTGGGCCTTATGGAGAGTATCACCAGGGCAGGTTTACTTCCTGCAGCACCACTCGTCTCTTAGGATGGAGGAGGAGCCCAGACTCTTGCTACTCGCACTCCGGAGCAGGTAGCTCCCCAGTTTCAGACTCCAGCGGCTCAGCCAGTTGGGGTAGTTCAGCCAGTTGCGGTAGCTCAGACCGGCGATGGTGCAGCCATGTCTGCCGATGCCTTGTGGAGATTGGACAGGTTCACCAAGCTCTTCACTACTACTTTCAGCGGTGCATCTACTGAGGATCCCTAGGATTATTTAGATAGCTGTCACGAGGTTCTTCGGAACATGGGTATTGTTGAGACCAATGGGGTTGATTTTGCTACATTTTTCTTGTCTGGGTCCGCCAAGACTCGGTGGAGGGATTATTGCTTAGCTAGACCAGCAGGATCACCAGCGTTGACCTAGGAGAAGTTCACACGGCTATTTCTGGAGAAGTTCTCCCTATTACACAGCGAGAGGCCTATCGGAGGCAGTTCGAGCGCCTCCAGCAGTGATCCATGACTGTCACCCAGTATGAGACCAGATTCATTGATTTGGCTCGCCATGCTCTTATCATACTTCCCACTGAGAGGGAGAGAGTTAGACGGTTTATTGATGGACTCATTCAGCCGATTCGTCTCCAGATGGCTAGAGAGACCAGGAGTGAGATATCCATCTAGGAGGCGGCCAATGTGGCCCGGAGAGTTGAGATGGTACTATCACAAGGGGGTGGTCACGGGGCAGACAAGAGACCCCCTCATTAAGGCAGATTCAGTGGTACCTTGTCTAGAGGTAGAGATTCATATGGAAGAGGCCATCCCCCTAGGTCTTTTCAGTCAGCACTTCAGGTTTCTCACGGCGCTTCAGGTGGTCGTGGTCCTCAAATGCACCATTATGATCAGCAGTCCTACAGTGTACCACCAGCTCCTATCAGTGCACCACCGATTCAGAGTTTCTAGGGTCGTCAGCCCCAGCAGCCGAGGGCTTGTTTTACTTGTGGCGACACGAGGCACATCGCTAGGTATTGCCCTTGAGCTTCGAGCAGTTCTCTGCATCAGGGTTCCCGTGCGATGGTTCAGGCACCAGGTGTTCCACAGGCCGCCCAGCCAGCTAGAGGTGGGGGTAAAGGTGCTAGAGGTGGAGGTAGAGGTGGAGCTCAGACCGCTAGAGGTGGAGGCCAGCCGCATCAGGCCGATCTAGAGACGTAGTCCAGAGTGGTGAGGCCCAGCCCCGATGTTATGCTCTTCCACCTAGGCCCGAGGCTGAGTCTTCAGATGCAGTTATTACAGGTACTGTTCTGGTTTGTGGCAGAGATGCTTCAGTTTTATTTGATCCAGGGTCTACCTACTCCTACGTGTCATCTTATTTTGCACCGTACCTGGTCATGCCTAGTGATTCTTTGAGTGCTCCTGTTAATGTGTCTACACCGGTGGGTGATTCTATTGTGGTAGATCAAGTCCATCGTTCTTGTATTGTGGTCATTGACGACCTTGAGACTCGTGTAGATTTCTAGACATGGTCGATTTTGATTTTATATTGGGATGGACTGGTTATCACCTTACCACACTATCTTGGACTATCATGCCAAGACTGTGACCTTAGCCATACTGGTTTTGCCTCGTCTAGAGTGGAAAAGGACTCCTGGTTATTCTACCCGTAGTGTCATTTCTTATGTAAAGGCTCGGCGTATGGTCGAGAAGGGGTGCTTGGCTTATTTGGCTTATGTTCGCGATTCTAGTGCTGAGGTCCCTCCTATTGATTCTGTACCCGTTGTTTGAGAGTTTCCTGAGGTATTTCCTTCAGACCTGTCGGGTATGCCACCCGACAGGGATATCGACTTTTGCATTGATCTGGTTCTGGGCACTCAGCCCATTTCTATTTTGCCGTATCGTATGGCCCCGCCTGAGTTGAAAGAGTTAAAGGAGCAGTTGCAAGACTTGCTTGAGAAAGGGTTTTATTAGACCTAGTGTTTCGCCTTGGGGTGCATCGATGTTGTTTGTTAAGAAGAAGTATGGGTCAATGAGAATGTGTATTGATTACCAGCAATTGAACAAGGTTACAATCAAGAATAAGTATCCGCTGCCGAGGATTGATGATTTGTTTGACCAGCTTCAGGGTGCCAAGGTATTTTTAAAGATTGACTTGAGATCTGGCTACCATCAGTTGAGGATTAGGGCATCCGATGTCCCTAAGACAGCTTTCCGCACTCGGTACGGGCATTATGAGTTCTTGGTGATGTCATTCGGGTTGACTAATGCCCCAGCAGCTTTTATGGATTTGATGAACCGAGTGTTCAGGCCTTATTTGGACTCGTTCGTGATAGTCTTCATTGATGATATATTGATATATTCCCGCAGCCAGGAGGAGCACGAGCAGCACCTTAGAGTGGTTCTTCAAACTTTGAGGGATAGTCAGTTATATGCCAAGCTCTCTAAGTGTGAGTTCTGGTTGAGCTCAGTTGCATTTTTGGGTCATGTTGTATCAGCAGAGGGTATTCAAGTGGACCCAAAGAAGATTGAGGCGGTCAAGAATTGGCCTAGACCATCATCAGCTATAGGGATTCGGAGTTTCTTGGGATTAGAGGCTACTATCGTCGGTTCGTAGAGGGGTTTTCATTTATTGCAGCCCTGATGACCAGATTGACCCAGAAGGGTGCTCAGTTTAGATGGTCGGATGAGTGTGAGGCGAGCTTTCAGAAGCTCAAGACAGCTCTGACTACGGCACCGGTGTTGGTTTTGCCCACAAGTTCAGGGCCTTATACAGTTTATTGTGATGCATCTCGTGTTGGACTTGGAACAGTGTTGATGCAGGATGGCAAGGTCATTGCCTATGCTTCACAGCAATTGAAGATTCATGAGAAGAACTATCCGGTTCATGATTTGGAGTTAGCAGCCATAGTTCACGCGTTGAAGATTTGGAGGCATTATCTGTATGGCGTGGCATGTGAGGTGTTCACGAATCACAAGAGTCTTCAGTATTTGTTCAAGCAAAAGGAGTTGAATTTGAGGCAGAGGAGGTGGTTGGAGTTGTTGAAAGATTATGATATCACCATCTTATATCATCCGGGAAAGGCCAATGTGGTGGCCGATGCATTGAGTAGGAAGTCAGCCAATATGGGCAGTCTTGCTTATATTCCGGTCGGTGAGAGACCGCTTGCTTTGGATGTTCAGGCTTTGGCCAATCAGTTCGTGAGACTGGATGTTTTTGAGCCCAGTCGTGTGTTGGCTTGCACGGTCGCCCGTTCTTCATTATTGGAGCGTATCCGTGATCGGCTGTATGATGATCCCCATTTATGTGTCCTTAGAGACACGGTGCAGCGCGGAGGTGCCAAGCAGGTTACCTTAGATGATGATGGAGTTTTGAGATTGCAGGGTTGAGTTTGTGTGCCCAATGTGGATGGTCTTCGAGAGTTGATTTTAGAGGAGGCTCATAGTTCGCGGTACTCTATTCATCCGGGCGCCGGGAAGATGTATCAGGATTTGCGTCAGCATTATTGGTTGCAGAGAATGAGGAAGGATATCGTTGCATATGTGGCTCGGTGTTTGAATTGTTAGCAGGTTAAGTACGAGCATCAGAGGCCTGGTGGTTTATTTCAGAGGATTGAGCTTCCCGAGTGGAAGTGGGAGCGGATCACTATGGACTTCGTTACTGGACTCTCGCAGACCCGGAAGAAGTTCGACGCAGTATGGGTCATTGTTGATAGGCTGACCAAGTCAGCACATTTCATTCCTGTGGCAGTCTCCTATTCTTCTGAGAGGTTAGCTGAGATCTATATTCGGGAGATTGTTCGCCTTCATGGTGTGCCCATGTCTATCATTTCAGACCGAGGTACGCAGTTTACCTCGCGTTTCTGGAGAGCAGTTCAGCGAGATTTGGACACACGGGTTGAGTTGAGCGCAGCATTTCATCCTCAGACGGACGGGCAGTTCGAGCGGACTATTCAGATTTTGGAGGATATGCTTCGAGCCTGTGTCATTGACTTTGGAGGCTCGTGGGATCAGTTTTTTCCTTTAGTGGAGTTTGCCTACAACAACAGCTACCAGTCGAGTATCCAGATGGCTCCTTATGAGGCCTTATATGGTAGGCGGTGTCGATCTCCGGTTGGATGGTTTGAGCTGGAGAGGCTCGGTATGTTGGGTACGGAATCTGGTTCAGGAGGCCTTGGACAAGGTCAGGATTATTCAAGATAGGCTTCGTACAACTCAGTCCAGGCAAAAGAGTTATGCAGACCGCAAGGTTCGAGATGTGGCTTTCATGGTCGGTGAGCGGGTATTGCTCCGAGTGTCGCCTATGAAGGGCGTGATGAGATTTGGGAAGAAGGGCAAGCTTAGCCCTAGGTTCGTTGGTCCATTTGAGATTCTTGATCGAGTGGGGGAGGTGGCTTATAGACTTGCATTGCCGCCGAGCTTGTCAGCCGTGCATCCAGTGTTTCATGTGTCCATGCTTCGGAGGTATCACGGCGATCCATCCCACGTGTTAGATTTCAGCACTGTCCAGTTGGACAAGGACTTGTCTTATGAGGAGGAGCCGATAGCTATTCTAGACCGACAGGTTCGTCCGTTGAGGTCAAAGAGTTTCCCTTCTGTTCGTGTTCAGTGGAGAGGTCAGCTTGCTGAGGCGTCGACCTGGGAGTCCGAGTCCGATATGCCGAGCCGTTATCCCCATCTTTTTCCCGACTCAGGTACTTCCTTCTTATGTCCGTTCGAGGATGAACGATTGTATTAGAGGTGCAGAATGTGATGACCCAAACGGTCATTACTTGTTTTAAATTAAATTCTATGTTTTCGAGGCCATGAAAACCACATCTAGAGTCACCCCGATTTGCATGCACAGTCCGGGCGCATAGCCGGAAAGCTTAAATATGAAAATCTGTGAAAAATGGTAAAATTTGGCTATAAAATGAGTTAATTTGACTTCTGTCAACGTTTTGGGTAAACGGACCCGGACCCGTGATTTGACGGTCCCGGAGGGTCCGTAGGAAAATATGGGACTTGGGCGTATGCCCGGAATCGAATTCCGAGGTCCCGAGCGCGAGAAATGAATTTTTAAAGGAAATTGTCTTTTGAAATTGGTTAAGGAAATTTGAAATGAAATTTGATTAGAACATGGTGGTATCGGGCCCGTATTTTGGTTCCGGCGACCGGTACAGGTCTTATATATGATTTAAGACATTCCTGTAAAATTTGGTGAAAACGGACGTCATTTGACGTAATTCAGACCTAAATTCCTAAAGTTAATGTTTTATGAAGTTTGAGAAAATTCTTTGATTTTGAGATTTAAATCATTGTTATTGAGGTTATTTTGGCAATTTGATCGCAAGGATAAGTTCGTATGATGTTGTTGAGTTATTACGTATGTTTGGTTAGGAGCCCCGAGGGCTCGGGTGTGTTTCGGGAAGTTTTGAACTTAAGAAAAATTGCAGAAACAACTGATCTGATATTCTGATGTTTTCTTCTTCGCGTTCGCGGGAGAACCCACGCGAACGCGATGCATTAATTCTCACTGATGAAAAATCCTTCTACGCGAACATGTAGCTTAGGTCGCAAACGCGAGGCAGTGGGGGGTTACCCTTCGCGAACGCGTGACTGGCCACGCGAACGCGAAGGCCAAATGGGCCAGGGCAGGGGGTCGGGTAATTACCCTACGCGAACGCGACCCATTGGACTCGAACGCGAGGGCTCGAGAGGATCCTTCTCCGCGAACGCGAGCCCGTTCATGCGAACACGAAGGCTTAACCAGCCTTACCCATCGCGAATGCGAAGGGTCTGTCGCGATCGCGAAGGGCAATTTTGCCCAACTATTTTAAATAACCAGAAACAGTAGCATTTCAGGATTTATTCAAAACTTCATAACTTCTTCATCTTAACTCCAAATTGGGCAATTTTTGAAAGAGGATTTCACCACAAGTTCATAGGTATGTAATCCTAGACTCATTTTCTTCAACTTCCATTAACACCCATTAGATTTCTAGGCTTAAATCATGTGAATAAGGGTATAAAATTAGGGATTTGGGTAGAGTTAGGACTTTTTGATTAATTTTGATTTGGACCTCGTTTTGGGGTCGAATTCTGGAACTAATAATATATTTGGGCTCGTGGGTGAATGGGGGAGCAGATTTTGGTTCGAACTTTGTGTTTTGACCACGCGGGCCCGGGGTCGATTTTTGGATTTTTGGGAAGAATGCTTAGAAAGCTATAAATTTGCATTGGAATTGAATTGTTTAGTGTTTATTGACGCTATGAAGTCGATTATGTATAGATACAATTGATTTGGAGCCGGATTCGAAAGGAAAGGCGGTATTTGAGGGTTGAGTTGGCCGTGGAAGTTTGAGGTAAGTGTCCGGTCTAACATTAGCTTGAGGGATTAGGAGTTGTGTCCTATTTGCTAATTGCTTCTTGTTGAGTACGACATATAGGCATGGTGACGAGTATCTATACGTTGGTGTCGAGCATGATCGTGAGTCTTCTATTGACAGATATTGTGTTCTTAAATGTTGCTATGGATACTTTAATTGATGATTCTCGATATTGAGAAAAGATTTGGTTTATTCTCGTGGATTTTATTTATGATTAAGTATTGGTGCTATTTGAGCTGAATAAGAATTGAGTTAGGATTGGTTATAGCTGTTTCTCCCTTGCCGGGATGTTTGTTTTGGTACTGTTGTTCCCTTGCCGGGAAGTTATTATATTGCTTTTGTTCCCTTTTCGGGATTCCTTGTGATTTTGTGTTGTCTTGTAAATGGGAGCGGGTGGTACGCCTACCACGAGATATAATGAAATGGTTACCACAGGATATGAGAAATGGGATCGGGTTGCACGCCTGCAACGAAATGTGAATCAAAAGTGAAATCTGCCTTTGTTTTTCTTATCCTTGTTGGAAGATGAATTTTGGTTTGCTTATAGCTCTCCTGAGATTTTGTTTATCTGTTATTCCCCGAAACATGTTTCCCCTTCCCAGTTTTAAATGTTTGTTCTAGTTTATCTTTCCGCTATATATATATATATATATATATATATATATATATATATATATATATATATATATATATATATATATATATANATATATATATATATATATATATATATATATATATATATATATATATATATATATATATATATATATATAACTGCACAGGTCTATCTGGAGTTTGGTCCTAGCCTCGTCACTACCTCGCCGGGGTTAGGCCAGGCACTTACCATCACATGGGGTCGGTTGTGCTGATACTACACTCTGCACTCTGTGCAGATACCGGAGCAACACTTGATCAGCAGCAGTAAGGGAGCCAGCCTTCAGTCCATGGAGACTCCGAGGTAGCCCTGCAGGCGTCCGCAGGCCCGGAGTCTCCTCTATCTTATATTATGTGCTGTTATCACTTGTATCCGAGATAGACGGTGTTTCTTTCTTTCAAACTTTTATATGTAGTAATCATAGTTAGTCCG